TTGCAGAGACTTCCTACCACACTGTCTTCCAGGTCAGAGATGTGGACTGAAGCTTTTGGATAATAATCCAAGACAAGATTCAGTAGCTGTTCAAGGCTTCATAGACAGGCTATATTTAGATAACAAGAAAAGGACATAAGGGAAAAGAATTCTTATAGTGTGCTGGAAATTATAAAGGCTCAATTTTATACTTAGAAGCAAGCTCATGTTATACGAAGGAGAAAACTGAATGCCAAAGAGTCAAGAATTTGCTTACAGAGCCAGGCATGGTGGTGCACGCTTTTAACCCCAGCACTCGGGAGGCAGAAGCAGGTAAGTTCAAGGCTAGCCTGATCTACATAGCAAGTTCTAGGACAGCTAGAGCTACATAATAGAAAAACTCTCACAATAAGTGATAGAGGCAAGTTTCCAGGTGGAAAGAAGACCTGATCCCTGCATGCCATGCAGCAGTGTCTAGAATAAGTGAGATCATGGTCAAGTTTCAGCAAAACTGTGGATGAGTCAACTTTGTCTTCTGGTTATCTCCCATTACCGTTCTTCTATCACTGTGATAAGTTTTACACTTAATGGTCATTATCCCTGAATGACGTAAGCCATCAGGTAGTTGTGAGCACCCTCTGAGGTATGCATGTGGGAGAGCATTTCAAATCCACGCACCAGTGGAAAGAGTTAGACCCTCAGTCTGGGAGTTTAATACCCACCCTTAGGCCTCCAACATCTAGAGCCAAACTGCCTTTGCTAGAGCCAAGGCTTGTATTTCTCAAATGTGAGTCTTATCCTCATAAAGCTTGGGATCCAGAAACAGACAGCTCTTCCTCCAGTGACACTAGACTCCTCCATTCTCTACAGACCTCACTTTCATCCATTTCCTGGATCCTTTCAACAGGAGTCTTACATCCCCCTATGACATCTCTAGAACATCTGCCTCACCTTTCATTCAAAACGCTCATCTAGGGTCAACATGCCAAAACTTCTCTCTCTGCTTCTAAAGCCAAAGGTTACTGGTAGATCATTACAAATATACATGATCTCAGCTTGACTGGATCCTTGGTGCCTCCACGAAGAAATCCTGTTATCTACTCTTCAGTGTGTTAAGGGAAGAAATAGCATGTTATCTCCCATTACCGTTCTTCTAGCACTGTGATAAAGACATTTTTATCAAAGCAACTAAGAGGAAGAAAGGGTTTATTTGATTTAAACTTTCAGGTCATAGTCTATCACTGTGGGACATTAGGGTAGGAACTTGTCCAGTGGTAGTCTCTGTATAAATTTGTCTCATGCAAAAAGAAGCTTTTCTGATGAGGGTTGAGAAATGCACTAACCCATGGCTATAAAGAAATGAAATTAAGGGGCAGTTTATTACTAAGTCCATTGAGAAAAATAATAGTATTAGGTTCTCTCCTAGGGCCTAAGACCTAGCCAGCCACAAGTTTTGGGCCCAGTTAACAGTACCAGGCCAGAGTTTCATGCTGTGGGGCAGGCTTTAAATCTAATCAGAAAGTGGTTGGTTTCTCCCATAACATTCCCTCCAGTACTGCACCAGTAGGTGCAGGAACTTGAAACAGAAACTATGAAGAATGCTGCTTGCTGGCATACCCTCAGACTAGCTCACAGGCTCATGATTAGCATCCTTATTTAGCCTAGGGCCACCTGCCTGGAAAAATGGGGCTGGACTCTCTTGCATCGGTTAAGCTAATCGAGACAACCCCCCACAGACCAACCTGATAAACACGATTACTCAATTGAGACTGTTTTTCCTGGTGATTCTGGGCTATGTCAAGCTGACAGTTGATGCTTACTATTCTAGTACGACCATCAAAACCATTCTGGAACCCATGTCCACTCTTCTACCTGCTTCCCACTGTCAGCAGGCAGCTTCCTTCTACTTTATGAAGAAAACCTAAGTTCTTAGACAGGAATGCCAACTTCCCACTCTTGCACAGTTATCTATGGCTAATCATCCCCTTCCCCTAACACTTTCTTCTGGTCATTTTCTACCAGCAGCTTCCTCTTGGGCTCGCAACAGCTGGCATCCTAAGCTATAACGTTCACTTCAGGTCGCCCCTTTTCTGCGCTGTCTCCTTCCTGCCTGACTCATCTGCCTCCCAGAAGATTTGATCTTGCTCTAACGTGTGAAATCACACCTTGCCTTGGCCAGCTTACTCTCATTCTTTCCTGCAGAAGGCACATGTTGCCTCTGTATTCTTTTCAGCCCTCCACTTGCTGGATTTCTGTGCATCTTTAATGCAATATGTCTACTAGGGCCAATGTTTAGAAATGCCACATTGTGTATTTTAAGTAAATAGGAATTTATTTTTTTATAGCAGCGGAGGCTTGGAAGTTTTAAGATCTAGATATCAGCCATTTAGGGTTTAGGACTTTAATAAATGAGTTTTGGAGGACATACTCAACATGTAAGATGTTCTTTCTCCTTTGAAAAATTCTGTTCCTACTCATTTGACTGTCTCTCTTGAGGAAGTCAAATGGTCCCTTTTTCCTCCGTGGGTCACTATGCCTTTGCCTGCCCATTGAAGCGTGTGTGTGTGTGTGTGTGTGTGTGTGTGTGTGTGTGTGTGTGTGTGTGTGTGTTGCACACACAGAGGTTTGACTGAGAGCAGAGGTCAGAGGAGGACAACGGGGTCCTGCTCTACCGCTCTCTACCTTAGCCCTTTGAGATAGGGTCTTTCACAGAACCTGGGGCCAGGCTGGTGGCCCCCAAACCCCAGCAATATTCCCCTCTCCGTGCTCCCCCATGACACATGGGTTACGTGTATCCTGGGATCCAAACACAGGTCCTCAGGCTTGCACAGCATGACTTCTCACCCACTGAGCCATCTCTCTAGCCCCCACCTCTACTACTCCCACCATGACCTCATCATCTTGCAGTATTAGCAACCCTGTGCTGATGATTTAGAGTTCCACCGCTCCAGTTCTGACCCTCATTCACTCACAAGACATCCAGAGTCACCGACTACTCCGGTGGATGCCCCAGGAATGCTCTGAACAGAAGAGATCAATCATGGAATGCATTTTGTTTTCCACCTCTAGATTGTTACTCATTCTGGATTCTCTCTTCCTAGATGGCCCCACTACATAATAGCCTACAAAGTAGCAAGTTCATGGCCACCCAGAGCTTTTACTCTTCCCTATATTCTGCGTTTATTTGCTGAATTCAACCAACCTGACTTTCTCAAGACCATTGCTAAGCAGTGGTGTGAGACATTGAGCATTGGTGGCATTTTAAAATTATGAGAGCCTCCTTAATAAACTAAATGAGCCTCCTGTCTCCAACTAATTTTAATTTTCTCTTATTCTCGTCTGCATTTTCATTTCTGTATTTGTTCTTACTAGTTGTTTAAGCTAGCATACAAAAAATGGGTGTCATTCAGGCATTTTCCTACATATATGTTCTTATTTGTCCCCCAACTCGGGGCTCCCTCCACCTCCTCTCCTCCCTCTTGCTGGTTTCCCTCCACTCCACAGACAGTCTCTCCTGCCTTTCACACCACATGCACTCCTGAGCCCTCTCCCGGATCACTTCCGCCCCTTGCATAATTCTGTTTTCATATCCAGCATACGTACATACTTGCACACACAAACTCATGCACAGACAGATACTTATGCACATGTACACACATAGTTACATACAGGTACACACATGCTTATATACACTCACACATACATATACATAGGCAAACAGCTATAAATTTAAGTCTAGATTTTATGTATGAGAGAAAATATACGTTTTCCTGCTTTGAACAGCTTTCCCTTCATTTTCCTAAAAATATGATTATAGCAAAGAAATCAAACCTACAGTAGCAATATTTAAAGTTGAATCCTTGATACAAAAAACTTAGCACAATGCCAAGAAACTAACCTTTGCAGAAATGCTCAGACTGGGAGAGACTGAGGCATGATCACTGTGATGATGTGAAAGGGGAACTTATCTTACCTATGGGAACACTGCCTGGCACGTGTTCTGTTGGCTGTAACCAATGGGGCCATGATGTAGAACAGAATAAGCCAAGCATGCAGCAAAAGGTGTGGTTATACAAAGAATGACCTTGAGCACCAATTCACACACGGCCTTACAGAAGAACACTTGGCACCACCTGCTCTCACACCCTAAAGAGTGGTGCATTAGGGTCCTCCGCTCTGCGTTCCAAGGACCCCCAAACAGACCTCTGTTGTTGCCTGCATCACACTGAGTTGCAACATTATGCATCTGCTCTTTCCATAGATGGCAAGATGTTGGATCCCAGGATTAGTTCAGTGCCTGAGACTCAAAGATTCTCGGTTTGTAACTGCTGAGGGAATGAACAAGTGAACCAATCAGGATGCAGGGAACTGACAGTGAGGCGGGACTTCTTCAGAAGCAAAGCATTTTACACACTTCCCTAGGTAACATGCTATGTCCTCTTTAAAAGAAAACCCACACAGCAAGACCTTACAGGAAAGCTGATAATCAAAGTAGATGGACTCTGGTCTGGGCACAAATAATTCACAGGAAATAGCTCTGGCAGGCAGCTCCCTTGCTGAATAAGGCAGTGGCAAAAAAGAAAGGACAGATCCCTAGTCATTTTCTCTCTTCCCCTTCTCCCCTTTCCTCTCTCCTTCTCCTTTGCCCCCTCCCCATCTCCTTCTCTTGCCCCACTCTGCTCCTGAAAAGTTCTTGATCAAAACGTCAAGGTCATCTTCAATGTCACTGCCAACATTCACAAATACTGCATTGTACCCTGACCCCAAAGCTGCTCTCTAAATAGCACCTTGACTCATCCTCCCAGGAGATTCACTCTTCCCTTCCATTGTCTTTCACTTTCACATTAACCAGTGCCAGACCCATCACAGACGGTCAGTGACACACATGGGTAAAGTTGGGCTACAGCACTGTTTTTACCCCTTGCTATTTATTGTTCAGGAAATCATTTTAATTTCTTTGCATGTGTCAAGTCTTTCTGTAGACAACTGCACTAAACAGGAATTTTTTTTTTCTTTCCCAGTTTGCACAGAGGAGGCAGATGTCCTACATACATTCTCCAGATTCTTTCTCCGAGATGGTAATACAGGAGCAAATGTTGTATCAAGAATGCTGCCCTACAAAAACAGAAAACAGAAGTGGAAGGTACCACTCAAGGATGCAGTCTCTGGAGAGTGTCAGCCTTGGTGTGATCTGGAGATTGCAGATTGCACCTCAGAGCAAATAGCTTCCAGACACCAGCCCCATCAGTCATTGGCTACAGGGAGAGGTGAATTCCCAAGCACTTCCAAGTCTCACCAAGCTTAGGTAAATTGGCCCCAAGGGTTGGTTCATTCCTCTGAAGAGGTTCAGGCCATTATGAGCAAAGCACATACAAGCTAAGAGACAGAACACTAACTTATAAGGAGATCCGCTGAGGAGGCTTGATTGGAACAATGTATTAGCTGCATGTCACTTAACTGATTCAGGTTTTGTTGGGGAGATTTACAAATGGTTGACTAGTTCTTAATAAGCACGGTTTAGCCTTTTGTAGACAATGTCTGCACCCAGGATTTCATTAGGGTTGAGTCTACAAGAGAAGGTCCTGTGGAAATGGAATCATGTTCTTTTGGTTTAAGTGGCTCCTAAGTTCTATGAGCTTCTCTGACAATGTTCAGTGTCAGCTCTGACAATCAAAACATGGCCCAGGAAGTCGCTCATGCCCCCTAGACCAGGCTGCTTCATGATGTCAGCTATCTCATAGCTTGGAAGAATTGGGAAGGAAAGATAAAATGTGGTAGAAAAATGGGTATGTGTCTATCTCCCATCACACTGTAAATGTTGGGAATCCTGACTCAGGAAGAATGTTCTTATTGGATCTGCAAAAACTAGGCACACAAGGGTTAAAAGTAGGTGGCCCCTGCTTCTGTGTAAAGCTCTACCCAAGGGACAGATTGGTCTCCCAGGAGTGAGCCCCGTGTCCCACCGCCTGTCCCTGACGGCCAGCACCACTGGGAACACCTGGAAGATTCGCAAGCCTCTGTCACGATAACACACTCATTTCTGTCTTCCCTCTTTTTCTCAAGATTTATACTGCGTCCTGGAGTCAGAAATGGAGAGAGAGGAGGCAGCTGTGATCTGAGAAGAACATGGAATTAGCGGAGTTTAAAAGGTTGTCAAATGCCTATAACTGCAAATACTTTGTTTTAAATGATGAGCTTGAAAAAACCCTATTTGCTTTTTGCCTCCAGTCTCTGACTTCCTTCTTTTAGAAACTCCATCTGGCTTTGAAGGGAAATATAATCCATATGTTTGAATTCCTATTAACCTAACTCATCCTCATCACATTTATGGGAGAGATTTACTGCCTATGAACACTTTAGCCTCTTGGATAAGACTCTGCTATTCCCCTTCTGTTCTCTCCCTTTAGCATCTCTTTTCTTCCTTATTTGTCTCTCCTTTCTGTTCTTTTGTTTTATTGCTTCATGATTCATTCTCTCTCTCTCTCTCCCCTCTCTCTCTTTTTCTCCCTTTCATTTTTTAATTTAAAAACAATATGTTTCAATGACATAATATCATATGTATTTCATATGTATAAGCAATGCTTTGAAGTAGCTCTACATTGTGGGATGGTTAAGCCTATGGTTGTATATTCTTTAACTAACTGTCCTTATCATCTCTGCCATACTAACCACATCAGCCTATGGCAAGGACCATCTGTTCTCTATTGCTGTAAAATCACGCCCTCCCATGCCACATTTGAGTGGGATTATGCAGCATTTCTTTCTGTGATAATGTTCCCCCATAAGAGCCATAAACTATTGAACAGAAACCCAGGGACCAAGAACAGGAAAACTCTCTTTGAGTTTTGATCAAGGGATTCCAAGAGACTCCCAAAACAATGTAGGCCATTGCTATTGCCCTGTGTTGTTTCCCAGAACTTGAAGGTAAGTCTCTATTGCTGAAGACACCACACATTTTGGATATAGGACTTGGAGGAATCAAGCTGAAATTGACCTGGAAGTCTTCCCCTTAGAACTAGCTCTCATAGTATGTCAGGGGCTATGCAAACTGCCAAGGGAAAAAAGCAATTTAAAGTCTTGCCCAGATGTAAAGCCTATAAACCACAACAATAGGAAAGCAAGATATATTCATGGATATAATAGTGGCATTTTTATCTTGGGGATAACCACCAACAGCTACCTAGTTGGATTTTAGGCCAACTCTGAGGGAATTCATGCCCGGCACAACAAACCTAGCCAATTAACTGTGGCTGGTGAGTTTATGGACCACAGAGGAGAACCTACCACTGCCACAGTCCTCAAGCAGTATAATCCCAGCTGCTTTCTAAATGCCTATCTTTAGCTCCATAGATAACCGTAGCTCTCAATCCTTATTAAAGAAGCTTCTTTTTACAACAGATAGAGACCGTCACAGAAATCCACAACTGGTCAAAATGCAAAGAATAAGTAACTGTGAGGATCCCAACCCCAAGTGATACATCTATGACAAAACCTCTGCACCTAACCGTCAGGGGACATGACGAAGGACTGTAAGAGATGGAGGACCAGAACATCTACTGAGAGGTAGTGTCTTCTACATATGACGAGAAAGCTACATCTATGAAATGCTAACAATATGGTCACCTAAAAAAGACCTATACAGTAAAATCCCAACACGGATGTGGGAAAATCTCACAAGGCCTCACTCCTAGAAGAGCTGCAGGCAAATAATGACTGCTAAAAGAGAGAGAATCAGATTTCTCCAGGGACAAGCTGCCTAAGAGGTTGTCCAATCCCAATTTGTCATCACTAAATAAATATGCATATGAATAGCACTAAATGGACTCAGTAGGATCTATCTGTTTGTCTGTCTCTCTCTCTATCCATCTATCTACCCATCTACCTACCTACCTATCTATCTACCTCTCTATTTAGCTAACTACCTAACTGCAGCATTAATAATCAAACAAGAGGTCATTAAGTTGAGAGGGGATAGGAGAGGAGCTGGTGGGGGGAAGGGTGAATGGAAATGTTATAAACATATTTCGTGTATGAAATTCTCAAAAATAACAATAAAATGAATGTCAAAAAGGAATGCAATGATTTGTATTTCCATAAAAAGAGTATGTAAACATGTCTATTCCCCCATTAACAATAGGTAAGATAGATTTTTAAAATGGTTCTCCAATCTGACTGCTGACAAAACATGTTTCATTTGCTAATATGGATGTTCTTCATTATGAGAGAGGTTTCAGTCATAAAGATGTGGATTGAGGGGCACAAGGTCTCATCTCATCTTAGTTTCCTGTCTTGAGAGAGAAAGAGAAGCTGTGGTGGGCATCAGAACTTAAGAAGACTCACAGACCAGAGGTAGAAGATGGAGATGACTGATGGGCAGTGATGAGTCGCACCTGGAAGGGGACTTGGTTAACCCTGAAGGAGATAGCCGCAGCAGGTGTACAGCTGCTGCTTTGGGGAAGGCTCTGGAGACAGGAATGTGGCTGGATGAGTCTGACCATGACTCAGGTCAGGGACATATGGCAGCAGTCCCACCACCTGGCATCTCTTTGTCTTCTTGCAGGGGTCGTAAAAATGGTTGGGGTAAAAATGAGATGATAACTCATAATCCTGGGTTCTGGATCAAGTAACACCAACATTTTTATTACTTTTTATAAAAACTTAACACACCTTTTCTCACAAGACAGTATATTGCTGCATATTGAAATGAAATTAACTTAACTGCAGCATCTGACAGTTGCCACTATGGAAATTCTTTTAAATTTCATTTGTCCATTGACAATTTCATTCATTCATATATATATATGTATATATATACAATATGTATATATATACAATATATAATTGTATTTTTTACCATATTCATCACCAATTACCCAATAAGGAAATTTTAAGTGATCTATATTTCGACAAGAGTGAATAGAGGAAAAGTTTTGGGATTTACTCTCTTGGTCCACAGATATTGGCTCTATGGGTTTGTTTTCCATCTGTTCTAATACTGTTCCTCCAAACCAGCCCACCCAGTCCTTGCCAACCTTGGAGATGTATTTATACACAAGCTTATCTATCCCCAAGACCAGCCACTTTCTGCTAAAATCCTCACTCGTTATGTGCTTATTGTGAGTTGGAGACTGGACTGAAAAAATCAGCAGTTGACCCTTGTTCAAATAGGAATGACTCCCATAGACTCATATGTTTGAAATGCTTGGCCAAAGGGAGTGGCACTATTGGGAGGTATGGCCTTGTTAGAATAGGTGTGACTTTGTTGAAGAGGTGTGTCACTAGGGGGTGGGATTTGAGGTTTCAGAAGCTCAAGCTATGCCCAGTGTGGCAGTCTTTTCCTGCTGCCCATGTAGAACTCTCAGCTCCTTCTCCAGCACCATGTCTAACTGCATGCTTCCCGCCACTATGATAATGGACTAAACCTCTGAACTGTAAGCCAACCACAATTAAAATTTTTCCTTTATAAGAGTTGCCATGATCATGTGTCTCTTCACAGCAATAGAAACCTAAGTCAGCCCTCAACGGAGCTAACCTCGGTGTACATTATCAGACTGGAAGTCTAGCAGTCTTGTAAGAAAGTTGGCTCTTGGTGTTTCCATTTCTAACCTGCAAAGAGCAGACTCCCAGACATGGATATGCTGTCAACACCATGACACCCTGTCTAACCAACCAGCCAAAACAACCTTTGCTGTACCATGCCTGCATCCCAGTCTTTCCTGGGTGAGGTATCCTGGCTCCACATGGGAAGCCATGCTCTTCTGAAAACCAAAGCAGCACTTCTCTGGGACACACTGACTTGTCTTGGCCTAGGATGAGCCTGACCAGTCTGAAGTAAGGCAGAACAAATACACTGCCAAGTTCACCCTGACCAAACTTTGTGTGCTGACCTGGTGCTGACCTCTACCAGGCTTACAGATCTGACCATCACGTTGGCACCAGAAATGCTCCCTGTAGCCATGAGGAAAAGGGTTCCATATAAACCTCTCCCATCATCACAGACCTGAGGCCAGAACAGAGAACAGAGGGGGAAGGTTCCTGGTTTCTTCCATCTCACAGTTCTTAGCACACAGGATCGACAGTGACCTCACATCCTCCTCTGTGCCTCCTTCACTGAACCTGCTGCTACTGAGTAGTGTCCTTGTTTTCCATGTTTACATGCCTACCGCCCACCACTGGGATGGGAAGAACCTTGCCTCTGATCTGTAGCAACCTAGGGTCCACCAGCTGAAAAGGATCCTAGAATGGAGCCCGCTTCCTAAACAAGAACAAGTGGGCATGAAGGACAGAAGCAGTGGTGGTGGACGCTCTGCCATTCACGTCTTCTTTCATCTACTAGAGATTTGTAAGGCAACAAGTAGAAACCCCAGGTTTTTGCAAGACAGTGTCTGTAAACCACTGGCTGAAGCCAGACTCACAGTCACAGTGCTGGGTGAAATGGTGCAGACAGACTGATACATAAAACAGCAGCACGTGCCTGGGCAGACATTGCCGCTGCACAGCACACACTCTATAAGAACACATTCAAGCCGGAGAGGCACACTCTGCAACAGGAAGGATGCTGGTGGCGGGAAGAGGAAAGGAAGGAGGGGACATTGAAAAGGTGGAGTTTTTAAGAAGTAGTGAAGGAAATAAGATGCTGGGCTTGTTTGAAATGGAGAAAACCCTCCTGCTAATGAGGACAAGCGACTGGTTTCACTGCAGCTTAAGGTAAGGGGCCCAAAGCCACGAGGTAAGGAGGAGCTTGGGTCTGTTTATGGTGGCTTTGCCTTCTCACAGCCCTGGACTCCTTCGGCAAGGCTTGTTTCCTCTCTGTTCCTGCTGGGTGGCCTGGGGTCTCTCCCACTGTCCCCGCAAGGCTGCTGATGGTTAGGGCTGGGCTCTCTCCCTCTTTTTTCCTCACATGTTCCACTGTGCTCGCCCTGATTGGCTGCGTGGTCTGGATAGAGCTCTTGTCCCCGTCCTTGTGGTTTCTGGCTAGAGTGTGGGTTGTTTTCTTCTGGACCTTGAGCATTTTGCCTGGGATGCATCATTTCCTTCGTCATTTATGTCCAAAAAGAACCTGAGAGGTCGTGTTGGGGACCTGCTCCCTTATTTATAAATAATAGAGGTTTGGGAGAGGCCACTTCTAAATGGGATAAGGTCACTGCACTGAGGGAGAGTGCTAAAGACTGGACACGATGCCTGGGGCATGCTGGGAAGGATGCAGCATTTTTGTCCAGTTTAAAGAATGCACTATTAACCTTGAGAAAAAGTTTCACAATAATAACCACCAGAGATACTTAAATAAACTCCTGGACCATATCAAGGGCAGGAGGGCCTGAACCAAAGGAGGTCTGTGGTGAGCATTCAGGGAATACAGACGACAGGATTTTATACTTTGGTGAAATAGTTTTCCTGAAGATTCAGGTTTTATGAACTAATTTTTGATTAATGAACTAATTTTTGATCACTCATTCCCCACAACCCAAGGGTTGTATGTTACTAGTTTTGGTGTAAAATGTCTCCCATGGGCTCATGTGTTGCAGACCAGTTCAATCAGCTGGGGAAGCTCTCCAGGAAGGTTGTGGAATGCTTGGAAGGTGGAGCCTCCCTGGGGGTGGGACTTGAGACCTTAGAGCCACTTCTTTCCTGCTTCCACATTGCCACTGCCGATGCAGTATGGTGGGTGGGCTGCCTGCCCCTTCCAGGATGGAAGATCTTCTTGAACTGCAAGCCAGAATAAACCTTCCCTGATCACTTCTTGTGAGGTATTGGTTTACAGCCGTGAGAAAAGCAACTAATAAACAAACATACTGACATATTCAAGAAACCACATGTTGAGAATACTAGAAAATAAAATTCCAGAAAGTTCTACGGAGCAAACCTTGAATTTCCCCCTTCCTAAACGCTCTGCTGAGTCCAGGAGGGTGAAGTGATACACAGGCACAACCTGCCCCAGCCTCCCCACACCTCACGGCACATTTGGCTCTTCCCAGCGTTCCCTGGAGCATTGCTCACCTTGGGTCTTTTCAGAGACTATGCATTTAGGCTTACAGTCCTTGTAGCCATACAGAACACTTGCAGACTTTTTCTTGTTCGTTTCTTTAACACTGTAGCTATGTATGGAGTATTTACATTGTATTAGGCAAGTAAATAATCTAGAGATCATTCCAAATATGCAGGTATACGTGTCTAAGTTACAGGCAAATGCTACACCATTGTGTATAGTGGAGGAGAACCAATCCTCTGTGCATGCCGAAGTGGTGACTGTACATAGTATGAGGTAGGAACTGGGGTCTATTCTTGCCAAGCATGTATACAGTTGTTTTAGGACTATTTATTGAAAAGACCTTCTGTTTCCCACAGGAACGGACTTGCTTCCATGAGTGAAATTCTGTCTCAGAGCTTTGTGTTCTGTTCCATGGGTCTCTTTGTCTTACATTCTGATCTTGATACTGTAGCTTAATAGTGTTGAAGTCACATAATGTAAAGTCTCCACTTTGTTCTCTTCTAAGATTGTTTTAGCTATTCTAGGCTCCTTTGTTTCTATAAACATTTTAGAGCCAACTAGACAATTTCTGAAAAAAAAAGAAAATAAATAAGGGAAGGCCTGTTGGGATTTTAACTGAATGATACAGCCTTGAAGCTTCAACACTCATGTTTCATGTTTTCAGCCATGTATTTAGTAACATGTGAAACTCAGACCTAAAGGAAATCATGGGACCTCACTAAGGCCACAACTCATGCTGAAACCGTGGTGGCATGCAACATCCCTACTCCCAGTTCTGCTGATGGGCTCAGCACAGTGTCTTATTCAATAAATACTCAGTATCTCACAGGTAGACCAACACCCGTGGGACCACGGACTGTAGCTGGGAAATGCCTCTGTCAGAGCCAACTTTTCTACTCATTAAATGGTTTTCCTATAGGGGAAAAAGTTAGTGTTCACATGACAAATGTGTATCTTGGTTGTCATGGAAATACATCTTCAGGCATCTTGATTAGTCTCTTTCTTGAGATAGCTTTACTTCCAAATTTCCCAGGCTTGGCTGCCCAGCCTG